CCAATTCCAATTCCAATGTACCAAGAAACGGATAAAAGCTAAAGAAGCCAGCAGATTAGAGTGAAGCGGAAAAAGCGGTGTCTGAAGGAAGACAACTCACTCCACTGTTACTGATTCGGCGTGCCGTTTGAGGTTGAAGCGTTGAGGATGAGGGGGACACAGTTCTACTCGAGGGGGATGGACTGCTGGCAACTGTGGAGCTGTCGTGAGAACTAGCCATCGACACAGTTCGCGACCGAGAGATCTGCCATGGGGAAGAAAGTTAGACCATGAAAGCCGACCTCGAAGCCAGCAGAGGCAAGCAACAGAAGGCATGGTGATGTGCACAGGATAGTTAGTAAAGAATGGGGTTGTAGGCGAAAAGTGGAGGCGTAAGCTTTGCCCGAATTAAGGCCTAGTTATCCTCCCCCTCCCCTTGCTGGATGTTGAAGGGAGGAGGAGTGCAGCTAAGTAAATCAAGCAAAAGACGGTTGTTTCAGAGGCAATGGATGGCTACGGAACTCCCGGTTTTCCTCAAGACAATTTCATAGAAATGTTTGAGAGTCCCTTCCGCAGCTTAAGAAATTGCATCAAAATGTAAGCAATCATCCAATTTTGCTGTTTGTAATCTGATAAAAAGCAACATCAGACTTCCAGATTAGAAGCAACTCATACGAAACGATAAAGCCGACAGCTCTAGACAGCCTACAGACAAATGGTCAATCTAGCCTCTTCAAATCTACATTCGACTTTGAATGAAATTCATGAAGTGCATAAAAATGCTCGACCTTACAAAAAAGGCAATTCACCTGAGAGGTTGCAATCCCGGCAAAGTAATCGTAACCGGAGATTTCTGAGGCAGCAGAGACGGTGTTGACACTAGATGGGTTCAGCGAAGGTACAAAGAAGGCCTGATGTGAGCTGACAGACTGCTCTGCAGTGGGGGAGGACGGCGTCCTGTGGGGTGTCAGGGGTTCCTGATATTGTTCATGCGCTGGTTCGTGTTTTTGAAGGTTGGTATCATTCCCTGGGGGGACCTAGAAGAAAAGCACGATGACCAATAGTCTATCCAATAAACATCATGAGGGTGCGAGCTGTATGAACATCCAGATTTCCAACCCAAACGCAAACATGGGGATTTCGGAAGTCAGGTCACATTTTAACTCTGCTTTGCAAAAAGGTGTTGGCAAATGACCAAGCAAGCACAGAACATGAATTTGTCCTTTAAAATATAATCCCAAACATTAGTAAATAAAAACAAGGCTTTAAATCAGCTGAATCGAATTTCAGTGGTGTGACGTTTACCGGGATCACATGCACTGTAATAGTATCAGTGGCTGAACTGGTCTAATACATTTGCGCCGTTCACTTGCTACCGCCACCGTACAATCACAGTAGTGTACTCCTCACCCGCAAAAAGGTGGCTACTAGAAGACAACAAGCACTTGGTGTTGAACAGTGAAGAGTAATGGAGAAGGATAAAAATAATTTTTCAAGAACGGAACAACTAGAGTTCATTTCACACTTACCTCCGGCTGGAAGGATGGCAGAGACGGTGGTTGTCCTTGCGAGGAGGCAATGTCATGGACGATCGTCTGAGGGAGTGGGTGAGTGTCAGAAGCTAAGGAATTGCGATCCGACGATAGAAGCGACTGTTGATGGTGAGCCCGATAAGTCAGAAAACAAAGCCAAAATTGCATATAAAATAAGTCACAACCGTCTACGGCAGTAGATAAACAAGTAATTTTGGCAAGACAGTAGGCCAAACTTTAATCCACTAACATCAGACTAAATTTGCAAACACTAAAAAGGAATGAATATGTCGAAAAGTAGGCGGCTAGACTCAGATCGACATCATGTTAAAATAAAAAATTTGTAGAATAGGACAGGTTCCGCAGGATATACTGACGACGCACCTGGGGAGGAGGTTGATTATGCTGAGGCTGATAAACGTTCTGCAGCTGCTGTTGCTGCTGATTTAGCGGCCCAGTCTGCTTGTTCCGAGCTGACGGTTGTTGTGAATACGGTGGCTGTGCTGCAGTT